TGCAACTTGGCGGGGATAATTCTGGTGCCGAAGCACACACAAAATCATGGCTTTGGGTCGTGACACCCTCCTCCAATTTATGGCTACTGAGTTTTTTTGTTGTTGTTTTTGGGGGAAAAATGTGAATGATGCACGTCAGAAAATACGGTAATTAATTTATAATGTGCCACTTTGCCCTGTCACCATCTCTATCCCTGGCAGTTAAAGCAGGATGCTAGAGTATGTGGAAGAGGTTATCACTCTGTATTTGTTAAGCTTACTTCTTGAAGCGTGTGAGAAGAGAAACCCCTGTGTGGGTGTGACTTGGAGAAACTGCATCATGCCCTGCCTACATGCCATGCCATTCTGTCTGGAATGGTTTCAAGAAATACAGTTTATTACAAAATAAAAAGAGACGAGGCCTCCTAATGCTTGAAGGAAATAGAACAAGAGCTTCAAAGTTCAGGTAGCATCCAGAACCCATGCAGTGTTTGGAGATAATTGGATTGGACAAATTGTTTCAGGGCAGATCTAAAAATAAACAAATAAAGCCCTCAAGAACAGGTGTGAACAGTAAAAGCAACTCTTGCAGAGTGCTAGGGGAATCTTTATTAGTGTTGATTTATTAGGATCCCTGTTACTGCAGGGTTGAGAACACGGACACAACCAGGACCAACGGTCATAAGCTCCTAGAAGAAAGTTTCAGACTGGATACAAGGAAAAACTTCTTCATGGTTCATGTAACCAGACTGAGGAATAGACTCCTAGTCGGGTGGTGCAGACACCTACCCTAAAGGTCTTCAAAAGGAGACTGGGGCACACCTTGCTGGGGTTATTTGACCCCAGCAGTCTTTCCTGCCCAGAGCAGTGGGGCTGGACCTGATGATCTCACAAGGTCCCTTCCAGCCCTAAACTTCTGTGAATCTGTCACACGAATATTAGCCTTGGGTCAAAAATCATCCATTCAGCCCACACACCATTTTTAAACCAAACTGTTTGTACCAGAGTTTGGCTCCTCTGGCTCCTGACCCTTTGCCAAAAGCATAGGGTGATAGAAGTGTCACACCACAGTAACTAGCATGTATGACTGTAATATTTGATCATCCTTCTTCCTTACCATCTTTTCTCTATGCCTCAAGGAGCATGCAAGCCTTTTTTGTGTTTCATTCCTCATACAAAGAATAAGTTCTGACTTGTAAATCCTTCAAGATTTTTCACTGCATGGTTGAATGAGAGATGCATTTCATTAACACTGCTACACTCCAAAAAATATCCTGGGAACAAAGGAGAATACACACAGCATGAGTTGACTGTGGACTTTTCTCTGTTTGTCTTAGGCTTTCAAAGGGAGTCAATCACCACAGTATCTAAGCACTTTTAAAGGGCCATGTGCTTAGCCTGTTTACCTTGAGACAGACCTGTACTATTTTACAGCTGGGGATCAGCTTCTGTGGATATGATCATCTCTCTTCTCAAGCAATCTATAAATAGGGAAGTGACTTTTGATATAAGTCTATTTTAGTGTTTGAGTCTAGGAGAACTCTTCTGTTCTAGCTATAGCTTTTCAATGTGGTAAAGTAAATGGACTTGAGAGGATAGCGATGAGACCTGTTAGTGGTAGGGAGGTGAGAGTGCTTCTTTTTCTTACTGATTGGCACAGACCCGTAGTGTAAATATTGTAATGATTTTGGTCTGCATTTCCAATGTCAGCACGAATGCACGAGACCTTGTTAGATAAAAGCTCTTTTTCTTTTTGTCTCCACAGCACTTCACAGAGTTCCTGGATGAGTTTTCACAGGATGTCCTAGGCCACCTTTTGAATGACCCCTTCTTGTCTGAGAAAAATGAGATGATGGAGGTGGAGCTCTCCCCGGCTTCCCCAGCTCCTCTCATCCAGGCAGAACACAGTTACTCCTTGTGTGGAGACTCTCGCCCCCAGTCACCCCTGACCCACATATCAACTGATGACAACTTCAATGAAGGTAATTTTGATGTGCACAAATTGATGTTGGGCCTTGTGAAAAACAAGCCTTGGGTTGTCTTGAGTTGCAATAACATAGCTTGAAGCAAAATATGGAAATGCTTTATGCACACATAATCATGTGTTACTTGCAGTAAATTAGAATGGCTACAAATAACTTGGGAAGAAGGATACGTCTTTGGAGTCAGAACTCTGCAGAAAAACTCAGAAATTCCTACCAAGTGGGGGAGTTCTTCTTACCTGTGGCTACTAGAATTCAGTTTTATGCAGCAGGTTTATGAAAAGAGTTTGGAAGTAGAATAATAGGTGAACATGTCCCAGTGGGAAGGAGTCTTCAGATTTCTGTGTGTAGAAGAGATCTGTGCAGATTTTAAATCTCATCAAGTCAAAATTTCCAGAGGTGTCCAAAGCAAGACTCTTATCCAGTATTGAGCACTGGGAGCTTTCAGATGCTCAGTAGCACTGAACCTGACCACTTATTTTGGAACCTAAATATGCCGAAGTCTGGGTCACTAATTTAAAATTTAACATGCATTGGAAAAGAGGAAATAAAAAAATACGTAGAGACTAATGAAGTGTGCAGTGTAGTTTCTTGGTGGGCTACTGAGAGATGTGAGAATAAAAAAAGAACTTATCTGGGAATTTAAGAAATAAACAAGAACACTCCCTGCAGGCTCTAGCTGGATGTAAATTGATGATGGGAATGTTAAAACAGAATGGGTTAATGCTGGAAGGAAGCTGAGATGAGTAAGGAGTAGGGCTGTGGGAAGCTTCCATTCCTGATTCGATTCGGTCCAATTTGGTAGCAAATCTCTGAATCCAAATCAAATTGGAACCCTCTGAATTGATTTGGACATAGACACAGCTTTAAATGTTTTTTCTACGTACCTCTAGGTAGTAGCAGGGGCTCGTGAGTGCTGCGATGCTGGGGTGTATGGAGCATCCCACAGAAGTGCGGGGGGCTCCCCAGCATGCTTGGCAGCACTTCTGGTCCACTTCCCGGTCTGCCGGGTGGGGCACCCGGGGTTCCCCTCATGGCCGATCGCCAAGCTGGGTAGACACGGGAAGGGGGTGGGGCACCCAGCGCGCTCCCCGGCAGACCCAGAAGTGGACCTGAAGTACTTCTGGTCCACTTCCAGGTTAACTGCTGAGCATGTGAAGGGCCCCCCTGCACTCCTGTAGGATGCTACTGCATGCACCCCAGTATCGCACCTGCAACTTCAAGGTATGTAGAAAAAAACTTTTAAAGCTGTGTCTATGTTCGAATTGCTCATTCTCCAAATCGGTATTGAATCTTCAGATTTGGAGTTGGCCAAATAGAATTGGGGACGGTGATCAGAATCAACGAATTGAATCGCTGTCCCTGATTAGGGCCAAATCTGAATTAAATAGGGCCTGCTTTGCACACCCCTAGTAAGGAGGACTTTTATTGGGGAGTGGGGAAAGTACTGGAGAGGATGTAGGTCTTTTAATAAACAAATTAACCTCTTTAGTCACATCTCTGCCAGCTGAGGATCAGGCCTGACAATTCTGTAGTTGTGGAGCAACTGAATGACTACAAGAAATTGGCTTTTTATGGAGCAAAATGTGGGCAAGAGTTATAGACAGCTGAAGGTCTCTAAATGGTTATGGTTGCAATAAGTAGAACTTTGCAGTGATTATGAGTAAGAAATGAAGAATGGCAGCAACTTTTCTTGAGTGTCAAGTGATCCAGCCATTCACATAAAGAGCTGGGAGGGAGGAACTTCCCAAGCGTGGGAAGAAAGCATAAGGGTGTGAAGGGATGAAGGAAATTTCAGCTTCATCCTTCCTGTTCTGGTGTGAAGATACCAGCAAGCAAGAACTGGAGTTCCAGATAAAAGCTCTGGCATCCAGGGGTCGGGCAGAGTATAGGACCAAGAATAACTGTTGATTACTAGGAACAGTTGTCATAACTGTCATTTGACATTGACTCCTAATAATCAGTTTACTTTTTCTTAGTTACCTTTGCAATGAAAAGCACCTGAATTGTAAGCCTTTTTTTTAACAAAATGAGGTTGGTGTATAGGTAGTATTAACAGGCTAAGCTGCTTATAAGGATCCACCAAAACCCAACTGGGTTTCCAGAGGTTCCATGTTTTGTAGTCATTAAAATAATCCAGCTGGACCTCCAAAACTGCTCCAAAGTCACCCATGGGCGACTGGAGCCCCCCCAGCAACCAGTCAGCAGCTGGGGGAGGGAGCGGTCCCCCTGTTACCAATCTTGATCACCAGGGGGCACTGCCCCCCCCCCCCCCCCCGCGCGCCGGGGCAACCCCCCCCG